CGCACCCCTCCGGCCAATCGTATTTCTCAAAGGAACTCCAACCTACGGACTGTTAAAGTAGCTGTTTTGACGGCTCAAATTCTTGACCGTTGATCCATACACAACAGTCAGGTCATCAGCACAATTCTTGGAGAAAATTAAAGGGGCAAGCCTCCTGCCAAACGATTTCATGGTATCTTTTGATGTCACTTCCAGTTTGCATCTGTTCCAAAGGATTTGGCAGTCGAGACTATCCAATTACTCCAACGAGATGAATATGATGAAACGGAGAATCGTCTCGGGCACGCCAAACTCCTCAAGCTCCTAAAATTCCGTCCCAAGACGTACTTTACCTTCAACAGAACCATCTACGAGCAAGTGAAGGACACGCCCATGGGTTCGCCAATTTCCGGACTCATAGCCGAGGCGGTCCTGCAACGGTTGGAGTCGCTAGTTTTTCGACACCACAGACCGAAATTCTGAGCTCGGTATGTGAATAACACCTTCGCCGTAATTGAGCGGGATCGGGTGCTGACATGCAAAGAACGTCTAAACGCCGTCTTCTCTGGCCTTCAATGTACCAACTAGCCTTCCTGGATGTCCTCGTTTGACGCAAATACGGCGGTGGCCTAAAAACTAAAGTGTTCAGGAAAGCGATGAACAATATGCAAGTCAACAGCAACCACCCGATCAGTCACAAACACGGCTGCGTAAGAGCGCTATACCGTTGCATTGAAAAGCATTGCAGTGAAGTGTAAGACAGAATTGCTGAATTACAATATCTCCGACGGGTACTGAGAGCGAATGGTTATCCGTGCAATTTTTTCAACCAGTGCATACGCAGACGAGACATGAAACAAAATCCAACTGGCCCAAAAATTTGGCGAGCTCTTCCGTACGTGAAGAATGTATCGGAAGCAGTCAGCCGCCTGCTCACCCCAGTTGGAGTTTGAGTTGCGCAAGGGCCAGAAGCAACCATCAGGCGCCGGATCATGCGACCGAAAGACCCACTGCCACGACAGTGGACAGTGAGTCATGATTCTCAGGCCTACAGTCTATCTATAAGCGCAACGGCGGGAGTCGTTTGCTGGATCTGGTGCAGTTGTGAACAAAGCAACTACGTCGGAGAAACCGGGAGATTACTTCGGACGAGAATGGCCGAGCATGCAGCGGCTGTCAGGAACAAGGCCGTCAACTCCCAGGTTGTAGCCCACTCCACGGGACCCGGCCATTTTTTCAAGTTTAACGGGGCCAAAATCCTCGCAAGAGGTGACAACTACGTGATCCGCGAGCTGCTCGAGTCATGATTCTCAGGCCTACAGTCTATCAATAAGCGCAACGATTTGCCTTTCCCATACTGCGTACTGAGACATTGAGCAGGAGAATTAGTCACGTGAGAATGGCCAGGCCCAGCAACAAATTAGACGACAGCGAGCATAACTGTCGTGCAATTATCAAGCCTAAATCCGACAAGGACAACGCAATCGCAGCAATTAATGAGTCGAAAGTGAAGTTTCAAGCCATCACCGCACCAATTAAGACCCCAAACGGTGCTTACAGGAGCTGGTAATTGTAGTACGTATGCGGATGACGGCTACGAACTATAAATACCGTGCAATCTGTGCATGTATCACCCCTATCTGCGCATGTCTCACATTATCCTACGATTAACTATGATTAAGGATTATCGACAGAATCCGAAACGTCAGGAAAATAAATTCTTGTTCCAGTGATCGCATCTTCTTCTGAACTGCTTTCTGGAACTTCATATTCACTTCTATCGGCAATGATGCCAGAATTGACGCTCTGTGCAAAGTCCTCCTTAAAAGAACCCGTAAACCTTCGCGCATAGTTAGGTCTGAAAATCTTGTGACTTCATCGCTTGCCAACTTAATATCTTAGACTCCTACCATCGCACGATTGCTGACCTCATGACCTTATTGCTCCTTGACCATGTTTACGGCTTTGTGGGCTCTTTGTGCTTGCTTTAAGAAACTATCTTATGTACAGCTTCTGCTTAATGCCAAGACGTGTGCTGCACTATTTCAAGTGCACATGTTTAGTATCAAATAGCACAAATACCAGGCATCTATAAATCGGACGTTCTCTTCGTTGCTCTGTCTGTATGAGTCTTGACTTTTTATCACCTATTCACTTTACCTCATGCCTAAATGTGTGCTTTTGCATCTCTGCTTCGTGATGAAATTCTTATATAATATATGTGATCACGGTGAAGTCCAGAAGCAGATTCTCCGCTATGTGCAATGTTAACCGTTGCTTACCCACTCTCTCCCCGTCAATGCAACGAGGTCTTGTTTTTTGTGCTTGCTTTTTATATTTCACTTTCGCAGTGATTCCTTCGCTTTCGGTGAAAGTATAGTTATCATCTGGCATATAACAGTCAGGGAAAACTTCCACCTAAAAAGACACAGTGGTGGCTTTAAACGAAAACAGACGCAAGACCCCACGCATTCTAACGTAATTAAAGCGTCCATGTGGCTGGAACTGTTAAGGGGACTATCGGCCTTGGCAAAAGCTTGGAAAGCACCCTCCGAAATCATGCGGCATACGGATTTTATGCAGACCCACCTGCTGTGCTGATAGGGTTATCGTGCCACTGTAGTGGCTTCGCTACTTGGTTACTAGTAAGCATGACTTACGAATTGAAATGCCTCTTACTACTAACTTTCCTTCTCGTAGAGTGGTTGGCGGCTGTCGGTGTATAAATCGATACAAACAGCAAGGTCATAAGAAATGGCCAAGAGGCTTATCAATAACGTAAGAAAGTTAAAACACTGCGGGCAGCAATAATGGGGAAAAAAATGTCTAAGCCAAAAAATTGGCAAGGGAAATGTGTAAACAGGGGCCGGTGTTACCGAGGCAGATTTAGGTTCATCACATGCTCAAATTATTTACATAGGTCGGGTTTAAACCGCCGTATGTAGGCTGCCTCCAGGTAGCGTAAGGTACGAGTTGTTCGTGCCCGAACAAGAACTCGGAAAGAAGTGTTAGGGTCCAAAGCATGGCCCGTACTTAGCAGATGCTCAGTAATCGGTGAACGAGGAGTTCTGTTTGCTTGTTTCAATAACCAACGAGGTAAAAATTATACTTTGTAGGTAGTATGCACTCGCATACTTATTTTTAAATGCTCCTCTAAATTCACATATTCTTTCTTTTAATCGTTAGCAAATTACGTCTTCCTCCAACTCTATACTTAAAGAAACGGTATCTTTTGGACTCACAAAATCCCCAAGTGACCCAATAATTTTGAGGCCTACCTGTCGCTGCACTTGCATTCATGGTTTTCAAACCACATGCCGTACACATTCTGTCTGCGAAGAAACATGCAATATTCTACGCTATGAGGAATGCATCACATAGTTCTCATAAAATTTCACAGTGGATGAGGATCGTATTGCATACTTAACAGGCAACATTAACACCTTGACGAATACGATGAAAAAGACCCCATAATTGGAAATATTTTAAGGACTGGAGGATACACTTTCTTCGAGTACGGGCTTTGCAGAAGGCGTAAGATGCTACCAATTTCGTACACTAAAGAATATTTTGTTCATATTTTTATAATATTTGTTTGAATTTAGCAAAGTATTGAAAGTTAATGCGAAGAATGCATACTAAATAAAGAGCCATTTTTACAGCGAATGGTTGTTTTAGGCGGTGAGAAAGACGCTTGCTAAAAAGCTAGAATCCTGGCGTGTCTGAAATATCCTGAATTATGATTCACGGTGATCAATATTACAGCCCACCTCTAAATTTCAGAATTTCGAGTGATATTTCAGGCGATAGGCAATTTACTGTAAGTCACCCGCAGAGCATACCTAACTCCTTTTTGGTGCTTCCACCATAAAAGCCTCCATTTAAAAAAAATGGATGAACCTGGAAAATGTACATTTTTACTCGAATAGCATTCCACTTTTCGTCCGCCATCCTTTGATTTACTTCTTCGATCTCCCTTCGTAAAATGCCTATAACACCTCTATAATATCTTCATATTTTTTTCGTTAGGACTGACAGCAGCAATTTTCAGTCCAGGCACGCGCCTCGGAGTGGCGCAGGAGGTAAAGGGCGGCATTACCTGGAATTATGTCGCTTGCTTCTGACGAAGCTATAGCCGTCGCATTGACAGACTGGAGTATACACAACCACGTGAGGAATGCCAGATAACCCACTGGTTGCCTAAAACCCTTGCAGTTATGCCATTCAGTGAAAAGAAATATCCAGCCTCTCCATTGGGCGTGTGATGAAAACAAAATGATGCACAAAGTAAGAAAGCATGAGCTGTGTGGAGGTCAGTTTAACCTGGAGGCTGTATTTTACGTGATGCTGGTTGGGCAATGAGTCATATCCAAGACTGAAAATCCTAGCAGTGAGTCGAGTGTTTTTGTGGCCTAACGTGTACAGTTGTCGGTACATGCACTGCATGCAATCAACCACATCTTCAGACTGTTTATGCACATGGCTCCATGGCGCACAGTACTTTCCGATCAGTGGGCTACGTCGAATTATAACTACCCCAGTACTTTCTGCTGCCTCATAGGCAGCTACTATGCCCGACATGGCGAGTCACGACTTTAGTCTTCTTCTTCTTCTTCTCATAAACATAATCGTCGTCATCACCATCACTATAATACTAATAATAATCATCATCATCCTCATCATCATCACCGTCGTCGTTATCATCATTATCATAATCCTTCTTCTATTACTTTTTCTTCTTCTTCTTCTTAGTCTTCTTCTGGGCGCTATAGGTGGGAATGGGGTGCTGGTTTTCGCCAACTTGATTGTCAGGCTTTTCTACTTTCTTCGGAATCTGATGAAGAAGTTCGGTGTATATTATTCAGGTCAAACCTTTTCGGGCCCGGTATAACAGTTGATATGAAATCCATCAGTCTCCGTGGAATACCCAATAAATGTGCCCACAGCTAGTCAATAGTATATAAATATTAATGGAAATACCATACTTCTAGCACGGATGCTCGCTAAGAGAGAGAAAAATATGCTTTATTTTCAAGGTAAATAATAAAGGTAAAAGGTAAGAAAGGTAAAAAATTAACAAAGTGGCTCCATTCACGGAGAGCAAGGGATAAGGTAAGGTAAAAGGCCATAAAATACTCAAAGTTTAAGGGCCTACACGAGATCTACATCTGTAATGGAGACAGGTTTCCTTTCAACTTCTCAGTTTCCGTTTCTTCAAACGTGAGGTAGCGTGCTAGGATTAGAAGTATTGTTATTTCCGGCTGAACAAGTTTGGAATTCTCCACACCCCTTCTCCAAC